AGTCCTTTGACTCGGAAAGTGCGTACACATGCCGTGCCACCAGTTAGTCAGAAGGAAGTGTAAACCACTGCGGGTGGGGGCGGGGGGGAAGCGGACTGATGTCTAGCGAGAGGCGCGGCGAACGCAGGCTCAGAAAATTGCTTTCACCTGTTTGACAGGACCCCTTTCTCTCCTTAAGGCCTAGTACCTTAATCGATTCGCTTGAATGTCTCCTCCGCGCCCCCTATCCACATCAACGATATGAGCTCCTAAATAAGCAGAAACCATCGAACCAGGTTTTAAGCTCGCTATTTCTCTATTCTCGAGCAAGATTGCTTGAATTTAATCAATTAATTTAACTGCTACTGGTTGAAAAACATAGCAATGGTAAATAGACAAGTTTCAAGCACCGGAAATCGGAAATTGGAATTAGCGACTATCTTATGGTTAGGAATATCTAATTCTATGGAACGACGCAAGTGAGGGGACAGTTGCGTTAGTCGGCAATTTGAAAACTAACGAATCCCATCACTGCTAGGAATACTGCTCGCTAGAGGTGTTAGATGGCAAGCCGCTTAACTCGACAGATGAGAAGCTCTTGAAATCGGACCCTCGTTAATGGGTTCCGTACACAAAAATCATAAGCCCCTTCCTCGCCTTCGTGCATGGCAAGTAGTACGTACCTGCGCGCTAGCCACAAATTCAGTTATAATAAAGAAGAGCTCTGAACTGATTTTCTTTGAATGTTTTATCTCACATGAAAGTGGAGCCAACTAAGAAATTCAGAAATGCACAGAGGCGGATAGGACGTCAAGCGGCAATTGGCGATGCAGGGCTGAGATAAAGCCCAGGTAGGGCCGAGCAAGTTCGGTAGGGCTGAGCACATTGTCCGCGGCCCCGTACTCGCTTCTGAAACAAATTGGCATCGAACAAAGCCCCAAAGGGATGAGCGCCTGATTTTGTTCACTGTAAAAAGAATTTTGCATTATTATTTGTTATTCCGAAAATTTTGCACATTTTTGAAAAGTCCCCGTTATGTCTCCCATCAGAATTCCATTTCCACAAGTTCCCATGAATACTTGCAGGGATTTCCTACTATCATAGTACTACAAAAATCGATGGTGTCACTGTTCGACGCGATCGTGAGAACACTAGTGAGAGCGCGATGTCCAACTGAGTCAGCGCTTGGTGGACAAAGAATGTTGAGCCGGACATTGAACCAGCGATGACAATGGCGAAAAGATTGGCCACTCGACCGAAAAATTCAAAAACGCTCCATGTAACGGAATCCTTCGTCCGATGGAAAACAGTACCCATCAATGCCATGAATTGACGCAGTTTCATCGTCTCTTTCAAGTCCTTTTCTAACTCGAATGCGGACAGAATGGCAGGTGTAAAACATTCCATGTAGACCAGAGTTTTCTTAGGATGCGCCACAACATCACTTACACTCGAAATAGCGACAGGGATGCGTAGAGACGGGATATATTACCCCTTTGACGACCGTGTGGCCGCCGGTGGGCCACACTTCCACTCGAAGGCGAACTCATTTTTCGTGATTTATTTGGCATTTTTAAGTGTTTTAAAACTACCCGTATACATTATCGGAATCGCAAAACAATGTGCTCATTACTAAATAATGAAATTGTTGGAGTGTTATTGGATATTGATGAAAAAATTCAAAAAGAAATGAAGCAATGCACGCACAACTGCGGTCGTCAAAGGGTTAATCCTTTCTGATGACGCGCCACGCGTTCGACTTTCATTCACAACGGTAACGGCATCTGATTGCGATTTGAATCATAGGATGACTCGCTGGTTCACCATGTGCAAACTAGTCTCGAAATCGTCCCTGATGGGGTATAGTGTGAACTGATCCGAAGCGCGGTAGCAAGCAGCGGACACTTACCACTATACTGAATCATTTGGTTGTAGAATAAACGCATAAAGGATAAAGCATTTGCCGTTGATCAATCCCTTTTTGGGATGCGGCACGCATTCTACTTCCATTTGTACATTCGTAGTGGCGTTTGAATGCGATGTGGCCTATACAATGACTTGCGGGGCCAGCCGATGTTCAAGTCAGTGTTTTTATCCTCCCAGACAAGTCTGGTACCAATTAACCGACCCCGGAGGGATGGAAGGCTTGGTTGGCCCGGGCGACTCACGACCCAGGATTTGATCCCGGACCGCTCGCGTGGTGAGCGCGCCACTTGTCACTACACCACTTCCGCCCTTGCTTGTAAGAATTTAATCCATGAAAATTGGAACAACCTAAGAAATAACATTGAAGTCGACTAATTTCAAATTGGTCAAAGCACGTGATACAACATGCAAATGCGAACAGAACACGCGTAATAGCAAAGGGAGGTGATGGAGTGGAGATTGAGCTGCCCTCATTCACCAAATAGTGGTCTCATCGTGTGCCGCTTCAAAATCCTCTAATCACACTCTTGGCGACAGCATCGTGCCGTGCTCTATTTTCGCCATTTTTTCATGCGGTAGAAAGCCAGTCCTACAAATCAGCCCTATTCTACATATGTCGGATTCCAGAATGATGTTTAAACAAATATCAGGTAACGAAAAGACATCGGCAGGGTAGCGATAGTTTGTTGGGAAATATAATATTTCTAACAAACAAAGGGAAGGAAAATACACTACACTCTGTTTCATGCAGCCAGAAATCCACGTGGCACACGTGGCTAAATTCTCGATGAAAAGGTGACATCACGTGTGCTCAAAGATGTTCTTGAATCGATGCCACGTTAATGCCACGTCAATTTCTGCAATTGCACAATTTCTGGTCATTTGAAGGCGAGGGTACATAACCGGATGGTTTCGTATGAAATAGGTTTAAAACATTTTCGCGAGCTGCGTTAGTAATGACTTCTTTGGGAGTTGTCGAATACTCCAAACAGATTCCTAAGCCTGGTAGTCTTCACTGCGAAGCTCGAATGCTCCAATCCCCCATATCTCTGCGCATGTTATAGTTAGGTAAGCTTCTGAAGTGGTCTTTTAGTATGCGCCACGCACTGGCAGTTCAGTCAACAAAATGGTAGACTGTAAAAAGAGAGCAGTCAAAGTTCAACGGAATGTGAAACAAGGTTTCAGAAGCCTTCTATGAAATGTCGCTGCACCAACTTTGAGCTTCAACACGTTCCCTAAGAAGGAAATTTTGGCCAGTCGTAGTGATCTTCAGATCAGTATTCAGTTACGCTTTATGATGTGCAATATTGATTGAAGGAGTCTTCCAGGAAAAAGCTCCGCCTCCATTACCACAGAACAAAAAACGATACCCTTTAGGCCCCTAGCCTCATGAGCATAGCAAAAAGAACGGAACATAAGCGTTAGTTTCGATAATACTAATCCTACACACAAGACAAAATGATCACTCTTTCCGTGGAAGATTCCTTTAAGGTATCGTTTTCTGTGGTAATGAGGGCGGAGCTTTTCCGTGGAAGATTCCTTTAAGCTAACATCTGCCGCTTCGTCTTCACATGCGCAGAATTTTAATACCCCACCCAACTATTTCGCGATGCGCCACGCATTCGACATACGCACAGTCAGGAAAAAGCCGCGAGGTCGCCACACAAAGGAGTAACCTAAAATCCTATCGTATACAATGGTCTCCGGCGAATTAGGCAGACGTATACGTTCGGGAGCAATCCATCCTCCGCACATAGGTGTATATTCAGTTAACGATCAATGGCACAGGAGGCGATGCGAAGGCTTGGTGAATCAGGTGAAACATGTGAATGGTCCACAAAGTCGAACACAAAGTCCGCGCCGTTGACTACTGAAAGGCCCAGGGCGTAGCCCAGATGAGAAGGCATATTCGTTGACTGGGGCACACTGACCTAATTCGCAAGCCCCACACAATCGAGTATAATAGACAAATAACCAGAGAATCTTGTATACCTCTTCACCACCTCGTTAACAGCAAGAGGATAGGCTTTAACGCATTAAAAATAAAGAAAAAAACATGGGCTGCGGTCTGAAAGTACAAGTCAAAAACACAAGAAGTTCACTTACCCGACTCGCTCAGCCGTCAGGAGAGAAAAGAGGGCATCAGTCAAGTCAGAGTTTCGATCGAAGGGGAGACGGCGTATCCGTGTTAGACAATAGCCAGCAATCAAGTGGACCACGTCGCCTCTTTGCCGCTGATAGTGGTCGGGGCGGAAACCCACTGCTGAAGCGGCTCATAACAAATCATCTTCTGGCCGGGAGTGCATGATGCGTGCTGGGAGGGTCAGCGGACTGGAAATGACAGACGAGAGGTGGCCGAAATTAGCTCGCCGTAGTAGTGCTGCTGGCGAAGCGAACACAAGCAGCGGCAAATAAGTTTTTCGGCGGATTTCCTGAAAAGCCTCGAGGTGGTCAAGTAAGCCTCCGTGAATTGCATGGATATTAAATAGGAAAAATTCGTACAGCTGCAAGGGTTCTTCGAAAAACTCATCTATTTAGGTAAATTCTTAGCGTTTGGAACTAAAGCTCCATCCCTCCTGTGCCTTCAAGCGCACAATCTAATCGGACCTAAGAGACGCCTATGTACATGAGGCATACAGCGGATCATAGCAACAACCCTAAGCTTGTTTGAGGGTCACAGCAGTTGATACGAAGTTGTAGGTGCCGAACTGACTAAAAATGAAAAAAAGAAGCAAAACCGTCGAACAACCCAAAACCAAAAGCGCCGGCCGAAAGGAGAAGGGCGGGACATGGAGACACTTGCACGAACTTCCTCTCACGCATCACTATTTGAGCTACCCATAGCCGTAATCCACGATACGTGTTATCGGGTGTGCGCGATGTAACTCGTCCAGACAATGGGATTAGTCGCCAAATGCTGACTTTGTAAAACTCTAGTGCCCCTGTCGCGCACTTTCGAGCTCCATCCCACCCAGCGAATATACTCTTCGACATGACTTCTGCTGGGTGTTGCTTCAGTCACATCAGGGAAAAAACACAGTCGGGCTTTCGTATGTGTTAAAAAAATGATCCATCTGCAGGCCTTAGCCGCAAGCATGCCACTAACGGTCGAGCCATTGGAGGCCGCAGTACCAGCTGCTGGAGGCAAATCCACTCATCAACTCACCAATAACACGAATCAGAGGATGATCTTCAAGATTCGCAGCACTAACAATGACGAGTATCGTGTTCGTCCTGTCTTCGGATTCGTCGACCCGGCTGGAAACGCAAGCATTGAAGTGACTCGATTTTGAACGGCCCACCAAAGGACGACCGAATCGTAGTGCAGTTTGCGCCCGCACCGAAGAACGCCAGCGACGCGAAGGAGGCATTTGGACAGACGGAAGTGACCAGCATGTTCTCCATCAATCTCAGTGCCACATAAGTCACGTCCAATAAACAATGCCATAAAAAAAGTCGGGTTCGTATTATTGGTGGCAGCCATATATGAGAAGCATGGCATTCAGAAGAAGTGGTAACTAATGCTCACCAGTTCGATGAGGGATGGGAAACTATTTTATTTAACTAGCAGTAACCCAGTTAATGGGCGCTCTTATTTCAGCCAAACTTTTTTTTTCTTATTTCGACGAATACCATAAACGGTGAAAATGCATGGGTAGTGGTAGGTGCGAACCACCCATGTCATATGTTGTTCTGATAAATGTGTTCCCGTCAAGTGGATTAGTGAGGACTCAGTAGAACAGAAACGTATATCAAGGCACCTACATAATGGTTCTAACAAGTAAGAGTACTCAGTAAGCATTAGTAATTGAGGAAAATTTTTAAAAAAAAAAACTGGTCAGCCTCCTGTTCCAGCGCGCGACGGTGATGCAAGTTCTTTGCGTGACAATTTACGTGAAAGTCGGAGAACTTTTTGCTCCATAAGAGCCCTAGACCAACCCTATGCCTGTGGTTATCCTTTCGATATGACGGCAATTTTTCGCGTGTCCGCTGTGTGAGACGCCTTTGATTCTCCAATGACATCAGAAACGCTACCAAAGAGGTGGGATGTTCTGAGAACAAGCTTGGAGGCACGGGTTAGGATAAAGCGGCCAAACCCTTGTGTGCTGTAGTGTGGGGGGAGAGGGTGTGCAACCACAGCGACGAGGGTCCTTTAATTTTTTTTCTTCTCTGGAAACACTTCACATCTCTGCTTGTCACCTTCAAGCGCCATAGCACCACAACACGTTCTACCTTCCAGGAGAAGACCAAAAGGTTCAAACCTTTCTCGAAATTCGCCTAACGGCTTAGAAGGGTACGAAACACATCAATAACAAACATCCCAAGGTTTCAAGGTAAAACAGCCATGCCCCTTCGGAAACAAAAGCTTTCATCGTGAACGACGCTATTGAGAACGAAGTGCTATTCATGAGACGACCTTGTGAGTGAAGGCAATAAGGAGGAGCATCTGCAGCTAGGAAGCAGGTTAGGAAACAGGATAGCCTCATCGGTAGAATGCCAAAGGGAAGTAAAATTCAAGGACATCTTACCATTACAATTCAAAAGTTATCTATTTGAACGTGGAGGTAACCAATCCCCAGGCAGGTTGATGCAACGCCCCAGCTGGAAATCGGCTGAAAATGTTCGCCTCGAAAAATTCTCAGAAATTCTCAAAATCTTTTATAAATCTTTTTAAAATTTCCTATGCACAGACTAAACTCCTGCATTCAAACTCGCACCACAACTCCTTTCAATACGAATATCCCATTGAGGAATACGCAGCGTTGGGTCAGCCTAATGGAACATCTTACGCAATATTTGCAAAAATCGGTATAAAAAGCGTCGTTGAAGTGCACGCAAACACCAGAGAGCGGCTTGTTAGAAAGAAGTTACTGGATTAGAAGACTCTAAGAAATTGAAAAAAAATTGACCCCTAGAATCTGTGAGATGAGCGCCCTGAACAAGAAAAGGGAGGAATACAATCCAATAAGCATAGCTGCAAGGCGGCTAGTTCCACTCATACAAAACCGGTTGTCGCGTTCTTGTGAACAAAGACAAGAACAGTTATATTACATGGAGGGAAAAACCATGGTACATCCGAGTATGGACTAGTGCTGGTTCACAAATAATGAAACTTTGCAGTTGAACCAGATCTGAAGGGAAGGAGGAAGCTTGGAGTGCTTCACGGAGATTGATTCACACATTGCAGCCCGCGTGCATCGCCGGGTATGCATTAAGGGAAGCCCTTAGCTTTTGTGGACTTTAGTTGAAAGCGATTTGTAGGGGAGTGACGAAAAGCCTGCTTGCGCTTCAATATCAGCTTGAATGCAAATCTGGAGTTCATTTCAATTGGATATTGCTCCCGCGACTGCAGCTCTGGGCCCACAACTACAGAAATTGTGCACTTTCGCGCTTACCAGGAAAGTCTTTCAGGACATGAAGCGCTTTCTAAATAGATTTTTTCTGCATATTTATTCTTATTTCCCTATAACATGCAACAAACAGCTTTGGGAAAGCGCTCCATGTTCTGAAATATTTTACTGGTCAAAAGCGAGTCACCAAGGCCAGTATAGGCACAGACTTTGGATCCTTTTGAGACACCTCATATCCGCGCATGCCCAAACGCGTGATGGTGCTCTTCACGATACGTGCTGATCGCATATGCTCTCTCTTACTCGCGAGACTTTTCTCTCATCTGCACAATCATTTTTCTCCTTTTCACGCTTTCTTCGCTTCTACATGCTGCGTCCACAGCCGCGATAATCGAGCTTTTCAGAATGTTTACAGTGCTTTTGTTGTTTTTCATGCGTGGCGGTCCCTTCTCTACTTTCATATCCGAGTCGAATTACCACATCATATTGATAAAAGCTGTATCTTTAAGGCTCCAACATTCAACTCAGAAAACATTCCCAGAGGCAAATGTAGCACTGTTCGTGGCCCAATCGCGACGAAGGGCTGATTGAAGCGCAGTCCTCGATCAGTCAGGAACTCAGAAGGTAAAGTCAGGGACTAATTTTGTACCTTCTGGTTCTGCGAAGAGCTCCTCGTCACGAATTAAGCAGAAAGGGCCAAATCAGTCAAAATGTACCATGAATATAGCAGAAACCACTTCAGGAACAACGGTATGCCCCGAAAGCTGTCACTCCAGCCTCCCCTACAGCTCCGCTCCTGTCTGTGACTCTCTCTCGCTCCCTAATACATGTATTCTCTCGTCTCTTCGTCTTCAAAAACTCCAGTTCAAACAAGCATCCCATTCTACAAGGGCAGGTCTGGTTAGAGAAAGCAGTCCTTAGAGGAATCTTTCGCGGGAAAAGCTCCGCCTCCATTACCACAGAAAAACGATACCCCTTAGGCCCCTAGCCTCATGAGCATAGCAAAAAGAACGGAACATAAGCGTTAGTTTCGATAATACTAATCCTACACACAAGACAAAATGATCACTCTTTCCGTGGAAGATTCCTTTAAGGTATCGTTTTCTGTGGTAATGAGGGCGGAGCTTTTTCCGTGGAAGATTCCTTTAATGAAGCATTCTCAACCAATTTTTGCCCTTTTCCTCCAGTTTTGAAGGCACAGCAGTGCACTCCATCTCTCATATCTTGCTAACATAGACTGCGCTTCTAAATATAGGCGTTTTCTTGTGCAAGAAGACTTTCTGCACTATCCCTACACCACCAAATGACGATTTTCTTAAATGTAATAAATCTTCAAAAGGATGAAGCTAAACTTGTAAAACAGTGAACAGAGCCGATGACTTCAAAGACAGGTTTTGACATTAACTGACTTTTATTCAAACATTGTATGGCACCACGATAATTTGAAGCCAATACCAGCCAAACTAATTTCCCCAAAGGATCGCGAAACGACATCTTTTTGTGAGTAGTGTGTCTCAATTCAGTTATGAGACCAGTTTTGAATGGAGTATATTGTCCCGAAGCAATGAAATGGAAACTTTTACGAAGCTCTGGAAAGGGGACGACATTTCATAGATACATCGACAGCTGCTCAGATATTTTCATAAATATTTGCAAAGTTGGAATGGTCTGAAATCAGAAAAGAACAGTGCCTAGCTCAAATATAAAGCAGCTTCCTAGAGGCACCAAAAAAGGTTGAAAAACGCTTGGCGTTTTCAAGACGCCGTACGCTTTGCTCTTACTTCACAGCCATAGTGACACTTGAATGCGAGGAGCCCAGTCGCTGTACAATTCAGTGCTCTTAAATACCTCCCATTCGTGTCTGTTACCCATTAAAGATAAGCATCTATTACATTGATGCGTAATCCCACTCAAATATTAAAGCAGGATGGGCGGTGGACTGCAATTGGAAAAAAAGGAAAGAAATTAAAAACTCAGGAAGTACAAGCCTTCTTGCTCTACTCTGCGAAAAGTCTAGGAGGCATTCAGGGAGACGAGAGACCACCGTGCGTCGCGGAGAGGGTAAGGAAGTCGCTGTGGAAAAAGCATAACAGACCAACATTGCGGAGGAGATAAGACATCGAACAGTGGGTGGACTCTAGTAGATTTTGTGAGATTTGATCATTCGAAGCCCCTAGTTCCTAGCGTCTTACAGAAGCCTTCGCGGTGCGGGGTGGCGCGACCTCTGCGGTGCGGACAAACACCACTATCCACTTCTTCAGTGAGGCTGAGCCCAGACCTTTCCTTTAGGATTACAGCCTAAGGTAATGACAGCGTCTCCTGCATTCCGATTTTTCAAGCGCCTTGGGGAGAAAGAATTCTGGATTTTTTTTAATTAGATTCATTTCCCACCCTAGAAGGATAGTACTAGGCAAGCATAGCAGAGATTCTATATGAGATCTGACCTACGAGCCATGTGCATGGTAATTAGCGCCAAAATTAGCTCCCACTGCGAACCTCTACTATAGGCCAGAATAATGCCAGTTTCAGGAGTTAGGAACAAATGAGACTCCCTGCCCTCTTATGCGTTAGAAACATTGCAAGCCTTTAGAATGTCTTCTGGTTGTGGGCAGAAATTCTGTTAAAATTTTTGGTTCATAGCTATTGACGCTGTGAAAAACTTTCGCAACAAATTGCACTCATCGAGTAAGAACTAAGTGGTAACACAATTCGATTACTTTGCAAAACTTTTCCACTCCTTCCCTTTTCAGGTGCGCCACGAATTTCACCTGGATTTGAAATTGTAGAGGCAGTTGAACGATTTACGAGGGCCAGGCTATGTACAATTTACTGTTACTACCCTCACAGACAATCTAACCAGCAACTAACAGATCACAGACAAACTAACAGACACACTAACGTATTAAGCGAACCTAGAGGACCTAAGG